AGACTTTGCGAAGCCGTGGTTGTCATCCTGTAGCCACCTTTATGCAGGTATGTCTGGAGCAGGCAAATTGCTGTCAAGTGCCAGTATTGTGCCCCTTTGTAGACACAAATCAGCAACTTGTGGCCATAGAACTTCCATGCAGGAAGAACATAGACCTTCATGGACCTAGGCCAAGAGCTACTCCCAGTCTTGTGTCTGAATATGCAACTTCTGGTCCTAAATCCACTGCAGATTTGGGTTACTCTTGCTGACTAACTTTCTAGGAACTCATTATTTTAGATGGATAAAGAGGAGCTTCATGCATATCTCTGCACACCATGCCTAACCCCAGGGTTTGGAGGAGGTGAGGACTTTACATGCTTGGAGCACCTGCAACCTCATTCCTTGATGATTTGGCCCTATCAGTGAGGTTGAGTCCAATGAAGCCCTGCAGAATCCAGCTATCTCTTGGTGGTAACGGGGTGCCAGTAGAATGGTCTTCTGAAAGAACAAAGGCAATGTGGGGCTTCATGTTAAGGCTCTAAATATCATCCTTCCAACTGTGGCTTGCTGCCTCCACATAGCACCTGCAGAGCTAGGAGCAGATGTTTTCAAGTAGAATAGATCTGAGGTTGAGATGGACTATATAGCCATTTATTCAGAGATGGAAAACGCCTCTATCAGCAATCTGGTCCAGAGAGAGAGAGATGAAATTATCATTACTCCATGCCCTGACACCCCTGCCACACACAGTGATTTTCATGAGTAATAGATTAGTAATGCGTGTGTTGGCTTGTGGATAGTGAAATACTTTGGCACATGTTCTAACTGATAATTAACAGGGCTTTAAAGTCTTTATTTTTTAAAAAAACTTTTGAGGTGATGGGATGGAGAATGGAATATTTTGTAGCTTGCACATAAGAATTGCTGATTGGTTTTCCAAAGTAGGCACCACCTTAAATGTAACTAACTGTGCTTGCTCTTCTGGGGACAGGGACTGCGGTTTGGTCGGCTTACACAGATCACTTGCAGTTTCTTTAACTCCAGTTCTTTGGGTTTAATTGCAGTTTCCTCTTATCTTAAAAATGTGTCGATAATGAGGAGCACTGAAAGACCTCCAGAATGTTTTCCTTTGTATACATTTATGACCCTTATAAGAACTTCAAAGTTAGATTTGCTGGCAGCTTGCAGAAAGTGAATGTCTGTGTCTTAACTGTCAAATGAGGAAAACTGAAGGCAGCCTCTACAGTGTTTTCCTTCCCATCTAGGATGAGAAACTGGATAAGGTCTGAGAGGTGGTGTCTGTAGTTACTAAGGATGGTGAACTCAGTGCCTTCTGCCAGGTTTGGTGGTCCCTGGAGAAGGTGGAGGGGCTGGGGCCCATAGAATTCCTGGGTCTAATTTAACACTCAAAAGAGAATTTGCATGGTAAGATTATGAAGGAGATTATCCAGTAGGGTGGGAGGCATAAGCATTTTACAGCCCTCATTTCCTAGTTTATTTTTCAGTATGAAATGCCCGGAAAAGACATTTCTGAGGTACCTGAATGAAAAACTGATGGCATTCCAGGCCAGAGAAAGGGTTTCCTAATTCTATGTGAAAGAAAATAGTCTAAGTGCTGATGATTTTCAAGTGTTTTACGCAAAATGTTCATGAAAACAGAGAACTGTAATGAATTTCAGAACTGAAATAGCAAGGCCTAACTTAACTGCCCAGCTAGATTTCCTGCTTACCAGCAAACTGCCTACTTCCCAGAAGGAGGGTGAGATCCAGGAAGACACGGGCACAGTGCATCTCTTCTCCCCTACCATTATTTGAAAGCTGTCACATGAAAGCAAATCTGAATAATACACACCATGCCATGAAGAAGGTCATTGATTTGTCGCCACTGACACTGAAAATTCGATATTTACGTGTCTAAAGCAGCCAAACACAATCCCTTATATGAAGACTTTTGGGAAAAGAAATTTGAAAGGATAGAACAGACTTCTCTTGATTTTTAATGTGGGTAGATGTTGTCCAGTGAAGGAAATGTATATTTTAAAGGTAAAGTAACAGTTCCAGTTTTGAATATTCTTAAACTGCAATTCCTGAAAATTGAAAATTCATTACAGTGCATCAAAAAATCATTTGCTGTGTGGGGATAAGTGCTAGTATTTGTCTGTATAGCTTAGTGTATTGTAATTTTTCTCCTTGAATAGCAGTCGGGGAAGCAAGGGAAGCCTGAGAAGAACCAGACAGCCTATATATCCATTCAATATTCTATTAATATATTTCATTATAAAATGTTACATTTAAATTAATATCGATATCCAGAATTCTTCTCTGTCCTGAAGGCTCCTCCTGCAGCCTTCCATCAGGATGGCTGCGGGTGTTGCAGGCAGCCCTGACCGGGTTGCATTGCTGTGGGCAGCCAGGATTCCCCCAGCGTGTCCAGCAGAGCACTGGGCTGTGCTGCCTTCCCCAGCTTGCCATAAAATCCCTTCATTGGGACCTCCTCATCTTCTTTCCATGCATGTAAATGTAGAACTGGAGCCAGGGGAGCTTCATTTGGCACTGTGCTCTTGTTTGGTGCCAGCACCTCCTGTGGGTGTCCTTTGCTCTTGAAGCGTTTGGGATGGTCATGGGTCTGCCCAGGTGAATTGGATTCTGGTGGTTTAATGATGAATACTCCTGCTGTGACAGCTGGAATTGAAGTGTTTGAAATATGTTTGCCAGATATTCACTAAAATATTTGTTTATAACTTTGGTACTTTGGGAACGCGTCTTCAGCTTGATAGAGCAAGGGTGAGCCAGCAATGCACAGCCACAAGGAGCAGTGCCAGGAGCCTGGCTTACCCTGCTAGGAAAATGAGGTGTTAAATACCAGTGTGGTGCAATAAACATCATCCAGTTTTCAGAATGAAGAGAGGGAACCTTGCAGAAGATCCAGAAAAAAAAAAGGACTTATGAGAGGACGGTGTGGAAGCCCCGCAGCCAAAATGAGAGTTGGCATTTTTAAAATGCAAGGAGCAAAAGACACATTTGTGTACCTGGAGCTAGAGCAAAGCACACAAGGCCAGCCTGTCCCCACCTCAGGAGAACAGTACGGAAACTTTCTGTGTGCATGAAAATACTGACACTCCTGAGGTCTCTGAGTGTGGCTTCTGCACTTCTGAAATGCTGGTGCTAGAGCCAGCAGTTATCCAGCGGCCCATTTGCCTCCTCTACAAGGAGCAGGCTGGAGAGAAGGCAGAGCCCCTTGCAGTGCTCGGAGTTTGTTGCTCATGTCCCGAGAAGGGAAAAAAGCCTGGGAACAGACTCCAGCAGTAACAACTTCTGCCTTCAGCAAAAGGCTGTCCCACTTTTGGTGGTGTGTTGTCTGCAGTGCCCATCTGTTTGGGACTCGAGCACTGGAAACACTGCCTATAACACCATCCAGGTGTCCATGTTCCTCGGATTCCAAAAGTTTGCTGAATTCTGGCCACTATTCTAAGTACCAACTATTTCCATAAATCTCTTCCCTAATTTGAATGCTCTTAAATCACATGCTGCCTTTTACTGAATTATATTGAAGATTTAAGCAAGGCTGGGCATTTGGAGTATAAAGATTTCAGTCTGGTTTGCTCCATGGCTTAAGTGCCAGAAGACCCAGATTATGTTTAAACTTGGAAATGCTGGGTAGGATATGCAAAAAGATAGACATAGATAGAGAAAAGAACATTTAGTAATTTCACTGAACAGAATTAAGAATAATGTATTAAAATCCTTTATTAGATTTATGCCGAAACTTATTTTCTGTCAATGAATGCCTTATGGTGAAAAAGAAAAATTCAATTCTCTTCTAGAGCTGGAGCATTTAATTGTCTTCTGTGAGAGACCTGGGGCCCTGTGTAAATCTACCTATCAGGTTTTGGACTCCTGGATTAAAATTGTTTTCAACATCCTAGTTAAAACATACACTGATTGTAAAGTTGCCACTCTTTTTCACACAGAGCATTCCTTTTTGTTGCAAAAGTGGGTAGTTTTATCCACACTTCTTGCACACCTATGAGAGCCCTTGACTCGGGTTCATCATAACACCAATTTAAAGGTTGAATCTAGCTCCTCTTTGTTGCTCATGCAGGCATGACCCAGTGAAATTTTGGAGGAAGACAGAAGGAATAGCCACCCGTGGCATCCCACCAGCAGGGAATTTGGCCAAAGATGAGCATTTTGCATGTCTGTGGTAGCTTTCTGCTTGTAGGTAGTCAGACGTGGCTTTCCATGGAGCCTCAACAAACTTCTCAACATGAATCATCTCTTGGTCTACAAATCTTGCCAGATTTGTTTTTCCCTTCTGTATGACAAAACTTCTCCTTAACCTATGGTTAGGCTATGTTCAATGCCAGTCTTCTGTTTGACCGTATAAGATGTTTTCATTTTGCACTGTTGTCTCCCTGTTAGCAACCATGGACACCCTTCTGAATAACGAAGCATGAGTGGTTGCCAGTTTGCACTGACACAGTTGCAGCTCTGGAGTGTATTCACTTCTCCCTTGTTTTCTTCTCCAGAATTTTCTGAAAATAGCATCTAATGACCATTAAGTTTCTGAAAAAAATGCACATCACAGAGAGTGCTGAGTAGAATAATGAAAATATATTTGTGTCCTCCTCAAACCTGTTTATGCTGAGAGGCTCATGGAAAAAAAGATCCTTTTCTCGCTTTCCCTATACTTTATTCTTGTGAATGACTGTAAGAGTTGATGTATTTAAAATATTAACTATGAATTTAGCTATCAATGTGCATAAAGATTTTGAAGGGCCTCCTACTCGCTACTCTGTTGTGTAGAATTTCTTTCTTGAAGGTGTAAGTGTTATTCCATGGCAGTACAGCTTCATGTTTGTATGTGATGGGAGGGAGGCAACGCAACTGGATGGCTACACCTTCTAACTTCTTGTAACTTCTTGTCTAATCAGAGAGCTTATCTTTTTTTTTTTTTTCATTTATTGCAGTATTGCATCCTTGAATGTGCCTCTCTTTCTTGAAAATGAAGAAAATGATTGCATGCTTCTTTCTGCTTTTGGGACACACTCTGCTGTCCACTGTATCCATCATGGCAAGAGATCTTCCTGGAGCACATTTCACACGAAGAAGGGATGTTAACGCACAAGCTCTGCTTGGTAAGTTTCCTATTTAAAAAAAAAAAAAAGGCACCAAAAAGCATCTCAGATAGATACAAATAATAAAGGTGTGAGCAGGTGATTGAATCAGTTAGTTCATAGTGAGAAGGCAGGAGTAAGAGAAAGTTTGTAGACAGTTTAACAGCTGTTGAAAGCAGAGCGTGTCTAAGTATTATGAAATGAATATTTGCTACGGGATTGCTACATTGAAGAAAAAAGGCCTAATTTTCACTGCTTAGAGAAAATAAATTTTGGTTAATGGAGGTCCTGTCAAGAGCTATCTTTTCCCAGTCTAACAGTTTACAGCTATATATGTGTGGAGTGTGTAATGATGACTGGAACTGGAGCTAATTAAATTAGCAGCTAAGGAAATGGATCCTCTCATTACATTGTTCAGTGCTAATCCTTTCATTTTGTCAGGTTAATTTTCTTTATAACGAGTAGTTGTTTTTTTCCTGTTTTACCAAAAACCAGAGGACAGGAATGGCAGATATCTTGGGGCTTTCATATTTTAAAAACGTAAAGTTAATCTCTCTTGTTGATCTTTGCCTGTGCTTCATGGGAAAGTTTTCTGGTCAGCTTTTTCATCTGCTAAACGTTTCTTTATAACGAGTAGTTGTCTTTGCTTTTTTTCTTTTCTTTTTTTCTTTCTTTCTTTTTTTTTTTTTTAAGAATAATTCATTGGTTAAATGAAAAGCTCAGAATATGAAAACATAGTGTGCTTGGGGTCTTCAAACATAGCTCATCATTAGGGACTCATGATACATTTTCATGGTAGATCTATTCAGAAAACCTTTTCCGGCCTCTGGGAGATATATGAAAACATAGTGTGCTTGGGGTCTTTGAACATAGTCCATCACTAGGGACTCATGATACATTTTAATGGTAGATCTATTCAGAAAACCCTTTCCAGCCTCTGGGAGATGTTTTGTGACCTACTTCCCCAACAAAGGTCACCTAATCCAGGTGAACATGAGCGTTGTGAAATGGCCTGCAGAAGAGGTACCGGGAAAAAATGAAGAGGAACCAAGCCAGAATATTGGAGAAGAGGTGGCAGAGAAGGAGCACCAGGTTTTAACAGTGTGAAACTTTTCTCCAAACAACATTTACAAAGTCAGCCCTTAAACATGTCAAAATACAGAGAATGCCATTCACAGTCTGGCTTTTTATTAACTTAAGCCAGTCATTTTCAGTTTTTGTAGAACAAATTTAAGCCAGATCACAACATCTTATCTAGTCTTAGTTTTCTTTCTCATAACCAACAGACCTGCTTCTCAGACACTTGGTGTTTCGTGACTGCAGGCTGAAAGCTGCTGCTCTGGAGACCTTAGCCCATCGGAAAACACGGGTGTGGAATGGCAGAGGTTGAGAGAAACACTCATGTTCGTGCCTTACTGAGCCAGACTTTTTCTAAAATCCTAAACGATAAAATAAGATTAAATAGTAGCCCCTTCTGTAAGTTTTAGGGTCCCCAGCAATTATCCTAAGTGAGTTTATTACTTTAAGAAATGAATTACCTGTATCCCTAGAAAGTAAATGACAGTAGAGTGTTATATAAAGAAACTAAAAGGTGTCACATTTTCCATTAGTCTTTTTTTTCCTTGTGATTTGTAATTGCTTTTATACTCATATTTTCATATTCTAAACACTGCAAAATATATTTAAAGTATTAGTACTGAATATAAATCAAAATGTATGGGCTAATTTATTTCTTCCTTCTTTCAAAAGCCGAACAATTTTGTGGTCCCTGCTTTTGGAAAATTATGGCTCCCTGTTCAATTTGAAAAAGAAGAAAAACAAAACTTTTCAAGACATTAACCAATGCAAGAAACCTGAAACATTTTCCGGTCCAGTCCATAAAAGTACGTGGCAGCTTTGAGTCAGACTCTCTGGGCATTGCATTCTGTTACAATGAATTAGGTCACCTGCTTCAGATTCAGCAACTACATATAAATAGTGGCATGGTTAAGACGTGCCCCTCTGTAAAGAACAGGGTGTGTGAAATACTTGCCGTTTTGCTGGAGAGCTATACTGTTCTTCTGCAGTTGTTGTAAATGATATGAAAACTGGCCCACGTTGTGATCCCAGTGACATCAATGCTATTGAATCAATAAAATTCAGATTTGCAGCAATTTTACAAGCATCAGTCCCATTTTGTAGAATATGTATACTATAAAGAGCAGTGCTGGTAATGACAATTACTGCTGTTCTGGAGACACTTGGTTGGCAAGCAAAAGTGAGTAGAACAGCTACACAGAGCCAGCAAATACCTGGAAGAGCAATAACAATAACGGAATATAGGTATTTACTGATAAAATACCAATTGTGGCTATCTAAAAAAGTAAAGATCCTTGCTCCAGGAAACTTAAAGTGTGATCAAGCAAAATGGAACAGACAAGAAAAAATCCTGTGGCATTGCCAGCATAAGAGATAAAAGTATTTTAGATCCAGCTCTGGAGGATTTCATTTTTTTGCAAGCAGATGCTAATATTTCTTAGATTTCTTAGTTAACTTGTTAGGTGCAATAAATCGTATATTTTAAGGAAGGCATCAGAAGTAATCAACTACACTGTGTTTTCTGTGTTTTTCATCTCTGCAGTCTTTTTGCTAGATGTCAGTGTCTGTTGTTTCATTTTGCAGGTCTTTGCATTGCTTATTTTTTAAAAAAATATTTCTACAATTCCTAGTAATTCCTGTTAAAATCTGAAAGATTTGTGTGCAAGGGTCAATTGGACATAACATTCCTGGAATTCTCTTTGTGTGGCCCTTGCATGATAAACTGCTTTGCATTGGGTTCCTTTCTAGCTTTTCCTTCTTTAAACTTGAAGCAAACGTCAAGGTATTTACAACTGTCAGTTTTGCCAGTTATAATTAACAAGTTTTCTCTTGCAGCAGTTTAGTTGTAGCATGTGTGGTAGTTTTAGAAATAAAAATATGTATGTATTTATTGACAATACATACATATTCTATTTTTGTAAAATATTGTCTTTATGTAAGTGTATGTGATCATTTCTATACTCCCCTAAGACTTTGGGAAACAACATAAAGAAATGGGTTGACCCATGCAATCTCTGTCCTGTAGCAGAGGGCAGTCCTCCTCTTTTCCTCATCCTTAAAAGAGATATGAACTAAAACCTGTCTTCTCTTTTACCTCATCAACAAATTGATTCTGAGTGTTGGATCCTTGGCCTCATCCTCATACTTTGAATCATCTTTTGTTTCAGAATCTTCTCTTTTAAAGGTTTTATTTAAGCTCCAAAGAGGTTTAGCTTTGCTCTCTGATGAAGTCACTATTCCTGCT